CAGCATAAATAGTTTGCGTAAAGTGTCTCAGATTTTATCTGAGACGCCTTACGTCTCAGATTTTATCATGATGAGATGCATCATGTAACGGTGGTCAAAGTGTGGCTAAACAGGTTCAGGAATTGAAAGTTGATACGATGTTATCAAAACAGAAAAAAAAGGCGAAAGAAAATCAAGTAAACCAACTCTTAAAATCTAACGAAAAATGATTCGTTGGTTTTTCTTGGCTTTTTCGTTTTGTTATTATTGAGTTGGGTAGGGAGGCTTATTTTCTCGGTTTCAGTTACGTTTGTATCTATATCGACCAACATGTGTTCATGCTGTTCATTTTTTTTCGACTATGAAACCTGATTTTGACTACATTATGTTATCTGTTAATGTTTACCGGAGTTCATGTTTATGGTGGCTGGCCGAGTCATTTCATAGGACGTATGCCCTCTCTTCATTGTTTTTCTGCCTATGTGTGTTTTGTTTAATAGCTTATTTTTCCGCAAAAAAATGTTGATAACTCATGCCCTGTGCATTGTTTTCCTGTACCACAATTTGCGCCGTACTGTCCTAATGCTTATGAATCAATTAGCCCGCCTAAGAACGCTTGTGCATGCCATAATTTGCAACTTCAACACCTCCCGGACTTTCCTTTCTCACTCTCTCTCTCTCTCTCTCTCTTGCAACTTCAACATCAGTTAGAAGTGCGAATCCCGACTTTTATGATCGTTGGCATGCATTGCATAGCCTCTAACGATATAAGTGTCGGAAAAAACTGGCCGGTAGCAACTAAATTTTTTAGATTAGTTTTTTTTCTTATATATCAAGGTCACTTCAAATGGCAAACAAGAAGTAAATATGGAAATAGCTGAAAGAGGAAAAGGTTAAAGCAATCAGTATATGTTCCTTACGCGTCATTGTTCAGAAATCTGTACTTCATGAAAATGGCGCTATATAAAAATAACATTGAAAATGTCCTTGAGCATAAGGGTCGTGCATATATATATATATATATATTTATATATATATTTATATATATATATATATATATATATATATATATATATATATATATATATATTCTATTATGTGCTTTTCTTAGTGTACAGCCCGTAGTTGCAGCATACACTGTAGGTGCGTGTTTGCGGGTGCGAAATATTCGAAATTGCATACTCTGAGTGAAAGATACGCTGATATAGCTTGCTATATTTGATTTTATTCACCTATGAACTACAGCGGCAAGACACGGTCGTCTAAATAACCACACTTCTGCGTAATCATTGGCAATTACTAGTAATATAATTGTCCACTACTAACACAAACAAGGTCACGTGTGCTTAACGGTAATAATTTGCAGGGTCTACCTTCCAAAACCATGATATGATATTAAGGTATACCATAGTGCTCCGAAAATTTCGACCACATGCTTGGGGTTCTTCATCATGCACGTAAATCAAAGTACATGCACCTCTAGCAATTCGCACCCTCTTAAATGCGGACAGCGTGGCTGGGATTCAACCCCGCATCCTTCAGTTGAGCAGTCGAACCCCATTACCACGACACCATGTGAACTTGACTTACTACAGGCCGCGTCCAGAATGCTTTCACGAATGTGTATGTTGCTTAATCGTATATAACACCAAATCAGTATGTCCGGAAGGATAATACATTTTCATATATTCTATCAAATGCCTTAATGGGGGGCGCGAAATTTTTGAATAAGTGTGAGTGGGCTAACGCAAAGTTGATCACTATATACACCACATGCTAAAATAAACTGCTCGCTACAGGGATTACTCATTTCTACTCAACATTCATGCCTTTCCTTTCCCTTCTGTTCCTTCTTTTATTGCACTTGACTTTCTACCAAATGAATGTCACGTTGACACCATTTACCTTTTATCATGGTACGCTTTTGCTCTCTCATTGCACTCTCCTTGCTTTCTCAGTTTTTTGTTGACACATTTAACAACCTAAGTGGTAGAGCTTACATGACTTTCAATTGCGGCGAGCTTTTTCTCCCTTTTTCACAGTTTTTTTATTGTTTTCAGTCGCATGAATGTGCATCACCATGTAAAATTATTCACAAAAAAAAGCAGACACGTGGCCAAGGCTTTGTCAAGCCGAAATGTTGTGTCTTGTTTTACCTCTTTCCTTGTCTTCCTCAAGGATAAATGAGGAGAAATAGATGTGTGAAAGTAGAAAAAATAATAGAAGAGTCGCTTTAAAAGTTCTTGAGTTGGCAGCCATGTTTTTATTTTTTTAATTTGTGCTCTCACGCTTACAAAATGAACTTTTAAGCTTACAGCCACCTTGCCACGCATTCTCTAAAACATCGGCTTTCGTGTTGCTCTCATCGACAGCTGCGCAGTTTTGACGGTAGACCGCCAAACAGTGGAGATGACAGGACAGAGAGCAGGATGTAACAACGTCAGTGCTTGTGTTGCTTCGTCTTGCTCGCGGTTTTTGCTGCGTTCCCCCTTGACAACGCTACGTGCGACTGCGCTTCGCTTCTGCACTTTTCTTATTTCGTTGTTTTGTCTGTTTTAAGGCGCTGTTGTGAAGTCGAGCTCAGGCCGGGCACACCTTGCCTACCTCACGAAATTTTCCGAGCGCTCCCCTATTCTCTCTAGATCTCATATGAAGCCGTTGACAGGTTTGTTTTGACAGAGACTGCCGCCAACGACTGAAAGAGACGAGCGGCCTCGTGGAAAGGTGCCTTAGCCCAGGTATCTATCTCCTCGTGCTTCCTGGTCACTCGAAATTCCAGCTCGCCAAGTTTACTCACAGAGTGTCTCCGTTATTACGCGACGAGGCGGGGCGCGACGTTGTCCGGAAGTGCCTTTGAAACGCCGTTCTGTTTTCCATATTTACGACTTGGAGGAAATGCGGGCGCCGAGGCTTCAGCAAACAGTTAGTTGGACCCTGTGGGACGACAGAAGCACCCGCGGGGATGCGTTCGCTCGGAAGTAATCGAGAGTTATGGAGCAAGAGCACGCACCTCCATGCAGCTATTCCGACTCCGGTTTCATTTGGCTGTTCCGCTGCCTGTTGCTTTGTCGCATGCAAACGAAGGCTGTATAATTTGTTTTTCTAAGTGGCCGAGTTCTGTTCGCGACGGACGGCCCTCGCAGCATTGTTTTACGCCGCAATCTTGATTCCACTCAGTTTGCTTGCTTCTGAGACGCCTTTATTTCATAGTTATACTTAAGTCTGTTCACGTGATCTTATTCAAGACACCATGGGCGTGAAATAAATGAAGCTCCGCGTATTTTAAGACATCTGGTGATATCAACGCTGTATAAGACTGCCTGTTCGTGCCCTATTAAGGAACGTCTGCGATCGGGCAGCCTTCCTGAGAATAATTTGAATAATACCATCTTGCGCACTGTTCTCAGTGTGAGTCAGCAGTTAGGTAGGACTGAAAGTTGGGCGAGTTAGTGCAACCGTGTTGTTTCAGAAAAGGACGCAGCACCGAACACAAGAACACTTTTTAACCAACGCTTGTGTTCATGTGGTTCAAAAGTCTTTCCGTCTTTTCTGTTGCTCTGCATTGTTGCACAATGTTCGATGTAGTTAGCAGATAACCATTATCGAAAATTTTGAGTGCAGCATTTGGCGTATTTGCGGTCTCGTCAGAATGAAGAATAATGCAAATACTCTTCGTGGTTCTCAAAAGTATCATTTATTTGTGCCATTCATTTTTCGCAGTCTGTGTAATTCTGTGTTTTTTTTTTATAAAAGCACCTTTCGATGAAATTGATGCAGTAAACTTTATTAAACGTGTTTGCGAACATCAATATATTGAGGCAAGTTTTGTGCGTTGTAAGAAAAACAAGAGGAGGGATTGTTTAAACTTCCTTCCACAATCATTTCACAAACATGCTTCCACAAGCTCACATGTTTTAGGTTCATTATGAGCGCCCGGGCACCATTATGTGGAAACGAAAGGGAACTAGCATGGTCGATGACTGATGAGAAGTCGTTGAAGTGCCTCACCACAAACTGTTGCTTCTTTTTGTTATCACCTTTCATGATCCCTGCAAATGAAAAAAAAAATATGAGAAAATGTAGTTTCGTTCGAAAAGCGATTCATCACTGGCGATTTTGAAGCATTAAGCAACTAAGCAAGGCAACTTTCGAAGTTCTGTCTGCATTACAAACTATTGCAGTAGACGTTCACTCAACAGTTACACAAACAATAGTGCCACGCGTATACAGGTAAGCATGAGCTCCTCTCATTCGCTGGTCTGCGAACATCAGTTTATAGTCACCAAGTTGCCGTGACAAACATATGAAATAAGTGTGAGCATGCTCTTTGCAACGCCTTTTGTTTTTAATGCATTACCGAAACTCTGAGGTAAAACTATTCAACATAAAAATGCACGGGGAGTCATCGTGCGTTAGAGAACGGCAATCTTACTTAGCCCAGTCCTTGTAACAGCGGACGCCTACAGATCACCTAAAGTGCTCGGAAGCTTCCGACAGTAGCAATGTCATCAGCTGATGAAATCTATCGTTCGTTGAAATAAACCCATAAACTTGCTTCATTTTCTTTAATTCATTTATTTAAAATCTGCATCTTCACACCCTAAATTCATCTTGGGTTACACCACATAGGGCAAGCCTTACTGTACCCTTCCCAATTTTTCCCTGTACATTTCCTTCCCCATATGGGTAGTGCAGACAACAAACGTGGTAACTGGTTTAACTTTCCTGTTTTTTTCCTTGTGTTTCGCTCTTTCGCTTCCTTCTCCTCTGCCATAAGTGGCAAACAGTTTGGTTGAAACTCTTCCGCGCTATTCTGCAATGCACGCGTACTAACCGAAACCATCTTATAGATTTACCTTACTTATATACCTTACTTATATATAGATTTACCTTACCTTACTTTCTTAGATATGACATTACGAAAATTTCTTCTTGAGAAGAAACTACGTGTTGCTGCCGTTCACACTCGTAATCAAGACACTGACCAATTATCCCAAACCTGCTTGCGGCTCTGTCGCCCTTCATGTGGCAGTGATCGCCGATTCTTTTCCGGTGCAGTACAGGTCCTGCGGGCGCGAAGTCTTTCGTGCCTGTAGCACACTCGAGGGCGAACAAATGCACGGAGACGACGCCCTCCTGCGGTCTTCGGGGCTGGTGCGAGGGGCGAATGTTGTGAGCTGGAACATAGAAGAAAAAAGGTTCTTTATATCAACGCGTAGAGTTCATAAGTGAAACAAGGCTCTCACGTGTTATTTGCTATTGTAATTGCTATAAACGCTTATTTAAAAAAAATTAGGCGCGATAAATTTGCGATAGACGATGTGACCAAATATCTGGATAGTTGTAGCGGACAATCAGAAGTCTTGTTATAACGGTAAGAAAAAAAAAACACGTCTGCTGAGTATATCTGCCGTGACAATAGTTTTTGCAGACAAAATAAAAGAAGCAGACAAAATACCTTGTGCGCTAGCTCAGGCGCAATAACACTGCCTACAATACTTACGTCATATGTGCCTTGGGCAAACACTTGCGTGTCGTCCGAGGCAACACAACGACTGCATTAATGTTTACATAGCCATATGCATATACTTTGGTCTCACGACATACTGTATACACAGCCTCAGTGACGCTGTAGTAGCTGTAAGCATTCTAGAAAGAAAGAAAGATGGAAAGAAAGAAAGGAAGAAAGAAAGAGAGAGAGAAAGAAAAGAAGAAAGGAAGGAAGGAAGAAAGAAAGAAAAAAAAAGAAAGAAAAATAATAAATAAATAAATAATAAAGAATAAGAAAGAAAGAAAGAAAGAAAGAAAGAAAGAAAGAAAGAAAGAAAGAAAGAAAGAAAGAAAGAAAGAAAGAAAGATGGAAGGACTGAGAGAGCAGAAGACTGTAGGATGGAGTGAATGACTGACGGAATGAAAGGACTGATGTAATGAAATTATGGCTGGAGTAACAGTGAAGTAAGGAAGAGGGGGAAGAAATATGGCGTAGCGGAACGTTATCATTGGCTGGTCGGTGCATGACACTCGACAAAAGAATCGTACGCAAGCACTGGTTACCTGTCTGTCCATAAGTCATTTTGCAATGTGATCTTGATTGTGAAAGAATGAATTTCAGGAAAAAGGAAGGGAGGAAAACATAAAGAAAACAATGAACAAGGAAGTATAGAATGAGAGATGGCCATCTTTTGAGTTACCTTGATTTGCACGGGTTCCACACAGCCCGACTCCAGGCTGACCGTGCCGGGGCAGCAGGTATCCATCATAGACGCACCCACTACCTCGCCGTGCAATGTTGACACTGCTACGGCTCGGTCTGCACGGCTTAAATGAAAGAGCGAAAATAAGTAAATGTACACAAAGAAACATCGCGCTTCATAATACCCATGTGCACATGCTGCGGTATTAGGAAACTTAGATAATGAAAGTGAATTTGGAGTTTCTGATATAGAACAGCGCCCATTCGAAGATTAGTCAGCTCCAGCCGGACATTGTCGCTATACTTTTTATTAGACAAATTATTCAGCAGACAATACTGGCCGTTCATACAGTGGGCGTACCATTCAAAACACATTACAAGACAACGCCAAACCTGGAATACTCGCCTGACACTCCGTATTTGTTCGTGATGAGATCTGGAGACTGGTACACAACGTCCCCGGAAGTGCACTCGCAAAAAGTCTTCTCAGGCGAATACCTGCACACAAAGCATATACGTTACTATTCTCGCCACTCAATCTGCACTCCTCCCCCCCAAGTGTGCTCGCGAATCTCTTCATTTCTCCTTTTTTTCGCGCCTTTATCTCGCAATAGAGCGGTTGACTGGGCTAGTTGGTATGGCATACTTGGGTTTTAGCAGCGCGAAAAATGCACGAAAGACAAGAAAGGGACGAGACAAGCACTGTGCTTGTCTCGTCCCTTTCTTGTCTTTCGTGCATTTTTCGCGCTGCTAAAACCCATTTATCTCGCCCCTCAGTGAAGAGAAGAGATGAACCGGACGTGCTTTTGGCTAATTCTTCTGCCTTTCCTTCCATCTCTCTTTCCCAATCAGAGAGGATATTACTTACATCTCTGAAAAAATCCCAATTTTGTTGCAAGTTTATTCATATTCAACTTTAGTAGTCTGTTGTGGCATTACTCTTCAAAGAAACATGCGGGAAAGCTTGTACCAATGGGTGCGCACTCCAGATTGACGTCACGGGCAGGACAGCTGGTAACTTTGCCTTCGGAGAATATTTATTTTATTTATTTGTTTGTCAAGTACTGCGGACACGTAGTGCAAGCAGGGAGGGTAATAAAATGGTACAAGAATGAACACGTTAGGCAAAAGAATTTCAGATAACAAGAAAACAAGAACACTATTTCAGAACAAGAGTCGATATGTTTGGCAAAAAGCTATAAAAGAAATCAATAATATTAGTGGTTATAAAAGTGATTCAATAATACAATTCTATTTTTTATAGAACAAGGAAAAGAGAAGTATAATTGCGTTTGTTCTCGCAAAGTATGGTATTAATGCCTTTTGTCTACGGTGAGGTGTGGTCCGGGTTAATAGGGGCGATAGACATAACAGATACAGCACATTACGAAGCCCAGGCGGGTCTATTTATTTACTCGTGGAGGTGATCAGCTGCCGCGCTTCGGTCGTCTGGGCAAGGCCTCTCCTGTCTTTTTCAGTAGTATCCGACTATTAGAGACGTGCACGTCATTGCAATATTTAGTCGTACATATATCGCTATGGATATGCACCTGCTGCACAGTAACAACGCCAAGACCATTACAGACATAACGCCACCCGTACCTATTATTCTCATTCTTTTTTTTTATGTCGCAGTAGTTTGTGGCAATCATTATTTTAAGTTGACGTGCCACATAGGGCACGGACGTGTCATAGGATTCTCAATAACGACACAATAGCAAATGTGAGGCGGAACTGCAGGTCCTATATTCTATATTTATCGGGGAAGCAGTGCTTTCTTTTCTCTCCTCCGAGCAGGATTATAGACAAAAAATATAAAGCCGGGTCAGTCATACGTTATGCCTAAACTTTCAGTTAATTTGTTTCTTTTAATTAATTTTGCAAAACTGAAGTATCAGGTGTCCTTATTCATGCAGAGTACCAGCACTGCTGGCACTGTCGCTGTGATGGCACTCTGAAACATACCTCTCAATTACTTACTTTCCTCATTTCTGGCGTTTTCTTTTTTTACTTGGAACCTTCCAAACGGCCACTCGCACACCTTCTAAAGGGTATCACTTTTGATGAGGCAACCTGAGCGACCATGTCCAGTCCGGTGATTACCTTAAACTCCGAAAACTTTTGTATCAGTGAAGCGCATTTCGTAATAATAGAAAGTTTCACCGCAATGTTGCAACGCCGTTGTCGTGTTCAGGAGTTTGCCAGATGGCAACAGCTATTACGGTCCTGTCATCCGCAAAAGTCCGGAGCACGGATTGTATTTCGCCCGGACGGTGCATTCGCTCGGCAATCATTCCAAGCCCCGCACACGAGGCACGAGAGCCGCTGTATATGTGTGCGTTTTACGACGACGCCTGCCACATATAGCGCTAGAGTGTCTGGCCGTCGGTGCTTCGAATCAATCTAATAATGAGCGTGAAGCGTGCCGTGAAACTTGCCTTGGCGCTCGCGGATTGATTCAACTTTGTCGACCGTGCGAGGCGCGGTGTGTGTTACACGTAACGGGCGCCCACTCGATCATTCTGACAGCGCGGCGTGATTTCGATGGGAACCCCTTGCAGTGACCGAGAGGCCAGACGAGCCGGCCAACGGCAGGATGCATTAGAGCGCTGGTGTTGGCCCTACACCGATCGATGGCTATAGCTTCTACGCGTCGCAGAAATCCGCGCCCACCAAAGGCAGCAGCACAAAGCGCGGAAGAAAGGAACAAACACAGCGAGGAAACAAGGAACGAAGAAAGTAAACCAGTTAGTGCAAGTAAATGCTTGAGGTTAGTGAGGGGATTATGCGAAACGTTCGAGAGAAAAACGCCAGAGAACGTTACGAGAAGGCTCCGAGATACTGTATACGAAATTACGAGCATGTAATCACGCACGTCGTCGACGAAGCTTCTCGAAGATTGTTTTGCTTTATGCAAATCTGTGGCAGCTGCTAAGGGAACAGTCACGTGACCCGAGAAGCGATGAACAAACAGGTTAGTATCCACTCAGCTACACCTCAGCGCAGGCCTTTGCCATCGATTCGAGTCCGCTATGAACCCACGTTTCGGTGCGGCTGAAGCTCCGAACCACGCCGGCAATTCCAGGCCGCCGCCATAATACGAACGACACGGCGCAGCCATGCGGGGCTATAAAAGTACGTGTTCGCAGCGTCCCGTCTGTGTACCGGCGCGAGAGGGCGGCTACTTTTAAGCGGTGAACGTGACATAAGGGGCATAAAAGTGGAGCAGCCACGGTGTTTTTGTTATTGTTTCAAGAACTTCGGATGCACGAAAGAGGCTCTTGCGCACTGTTTACGTCGAACTGAACGGTATAGCCGTTTTATCACCGGAAACGCCTACGTGCTGCAAACGCAGGTGCGTCCTCGCAACTCGCTGCAATCATGTTCTCGAAATATGTATACGTGCTATATAATTTATTTTCAACTAACCACCCACAATGACTGACGAATGGCTATTCTTCAATTTTCTTTTTATACAAATCCGGTTTACTGCGCTTCAAAATGGTGGTTAAGCAAACCGTTTCTGCGCTCTTTGGAATCACTATCAGCTTGCTGTATTGATTTTTACCCATGCATCTCAAATCGGTGTTTATAGTACTTGTGAGCTATCGTGTTCTGCATCAAAAACGAGGTACAATGGTGACTGAAGTTCACAATGACTACATATTTAGGAGGATACGTCTAAATATTCAGATCCTAAGGATACGTCACGTATAGCGATATCAATTTAATATTGCAAGCTCCTGCATAAATGGCTTCCACTAAAGTGACTGAAACGCCATGTTGGAGCATCAACATTGTGTTACGTTAGTGTTGTCTACCTGGCATGCTGGTGCCTTTGTTATGGACGCACAGAGGCCCAATAATGATCCAGATCTATCATTACCGCAATGAATAAGCGTATCCGCGTGCTGATATTGCTTTGACGTCATTTGAGCCGCCATCTTGGAACCATGTTCGGCGTCCACGATGTCACGTGCAAGATATGTACGCATGATTTCTAGGCGCTTGTACGCTTTGTGGTGTGGTGTGATTGTGAGTGTTGTGTGGTGCGTGTGATTGACTTGCGTCTTCCTTCTAAAGTGCATTTGAAATTAGCACAACATTTGCAATAAGCAGCTGTTGCGCAACCAGATGAAATCCAGTTCGTACACGCCACCACTATCACATGATGGTGGAAAGGTATCACCAGAACTTACACTTCGTGCAGCCACTGGACTACATATACTTCGTCATGTACGCATGCGTTCTACCACCCTGGAATCACACAATGTCTGACTTCCTTCAACTTTCACTACTGTTTCTTCCTTTGCTTTCAGATATGCCGCTTCCCCTGAACACACCAACCTAGTTGAAGACAGTTATACTTAGACATCATTCACTATATGGAGAATACTTATGACATATAACACGCCAAAATCCAAAATAAAACTGTGCCTCTTCATTCTACGCTAACCATAACAGTAAAGAAACCGTGCGAAGGCCACGGGGCAACAGGTGCAACTGCTTTGTATGCGCCAGAAGCATTGCGAAACACTACGCACTTGCACAACAGTGACAATAGATTGCGTGAGCCTGTCATGAATAAGACGTCCATTTTTTTTGTATTTGGAGGAGGTTGAAAGAACGCATTCTGTCACGTTCGTTGCTAAGTTGGAAACAAGGGGGATGACGCTATTGATCATACTTTAGTGAACCACACGTACCGTGTCTCATCTTCACTACAGCGCTTACTACTCACGCTGAGATGGTTCTCAGAAACACTGCCTGTAAACGCGGCGCCATTTTTTTTCTCATGTAGAACTGTTTATTTCATGATTATGCACTAGTGCCCTACATTGCAGCAAAGTGGTCACTGTGCTCAAAGGTCACGAAAGTTACTGGTTCGATCGATCCCAGCCGTGGCGGTCGCATGTCGATGGAAGCTTAATGCTAGTGGCCGGTGTACTGCGTGAAGCCAATGCACGCTAAATAACTTTAGATGTTCTAAATATCCGCAGCCTTGCACTACGACATTCCTCGTAATTGTATCGCGCTTTAGAGATGTAAAACTCAAGTAATAGTATGGTTAACGGCACCACAACATTTCGATCTGGTCACCAGATTGCGATGCCGCGTTCACAACGATGCGCTGTCTTCTCACTTCTCCTCCGATCCTGCGGCATTTCGACCCAAGCGCCCCGGCAGAAATACACGCAGACGCCAGTAGTGTGGGCCTTGGCGCCGTCCTTGCTAAGCGAAAGGCTGGCTTCAGTGAGTATGCCGTCGCTTTCGCCAGTCGCACTCTGACGAAGACTGAAACTAACTATTCTGTCCCAGAAAAAAGTCACAGCTTCACCGCAAAGGTGAAGCAATCATTGTGATCACAACAAATTGGAATGTCACGTGAAGTATGGCAAGCGAATTGAAACGTGCCCCACGTTGCTCCCGCACAAATGACGCACGAAACGTACTCACAGGTACAGGTGAACGCGAATAAGTGTCTCAGTTGTTACTACGCTGTGTCTGAAAAGCACGCCCTTTTCGCAAATGGAGATTGTGCAACAATTACAGTGACCTTTGTGCGCCCGGTGATAAAAACAGAATCGTTTTGGTGAAAGCTGAAGGCCAGTCAAGGCGTACGATCTTCCGCACTGCGAGATAAGGGCGTGCGGTAGAGCGTCCAGCGCCCTCACTCCGCGGGGCAAAGTACGCGTGGGAGATGAGAGCGCGCGCCGCCGGGTCGTGACAATGTGGCGACACGCGCTCCTTGCGCCATCTTGCTGGTGGTGCTGAAAACACGATAGCTCCCCTTCCCGAAATGCCCGTCACCAGTGGTAAGTAAATAGCATTCCATTTGAACATTGAAAGATGCGCTTCTCCGTGGCTCAGTTGTTAACGCCTCGCATACGCGATTCAGAGCTAGGTTCCACGTTGGATTCCGCGCGCCGGAGTCTTTTGGTTGTACGGTTGCAACGAACTGTATGTGGTAAGGGGGCCGAAAGCGGGATTCGAATTCGAAGCACATACTTCCCGGTTATGAAACGAACTCCAAGTTTCCGCTACCTGGAGGCTTACAAAGAGGATTAAGCTTAAATTGAGGACGAGGCAGAGAGCGATGAAAAGGAAAGTGATAGGTGTAAGCTTAAGTGACAAGAAGAGAGCAGAGTGAATCAGGGAACAAACCGCGGTGAAGGAGATCATAGTTGAAGTCAAGAAGCAGAAATGGACATTGGCCCGGTATGTAGCGCGTAGGTGGGATAACCGTTGGTCATTAAGGATAACTGACTAGATTTCTAGAGAAGGCAAGATGGTTAAGGGGAGAAGTAAAGTTAGGTGGGCAGATGAGATTAGAAAGTTTGCGGGTATAAAATGGCTGTAACAAGCACAGGACCGAGTTGACTGGCGGATCATGGAAGATGCTTTTGTCCTGCAGTGGACGTAGGCAGGCTGATTACGATGATGATGACAAAAACGGTGAGTGACGGCAACGCTGACGCCAGCGGCGAAATTCAGCCGAGACTGTTCATATAATTGCTATCGCAATAAGAACGCGTGTGAGCATCGTAGGCGTTATTCGAATGTCGCAGGTTTTGTGCCTGCCACGGCAAGTTAGCTTTTTGTGCACTGTTCTTTCTTCACATATACATAAGAATTACTGCTAATAAATTCCCGTACACTTTTCGTAGCATCGTTGTCTGTTAGTTCTTAGTTATATTGTGTCCAACAATGAAAAACAAGCCCCTGATTTTCCACTTCTTTTCTTCATTGATATGGCAGTGTGATATATTATAGGTGTGACTTGTCATGCCTTGTTGCCACATTTATTCGCTGCTTAGATATGAAATTATGGCTTTGTTGCTGTCAGAAATAGCAGAAGTGTTGCGAGAAAGAAAGAAAGGGAGGAAAAAAAGAAAGGAACAATGAAGAAAGGAAGACAGAATGAAAGAAAGAAGGAAGGAAACATAAAATTAAAATGATTGAAAAGGATTTGCGAAAATTGCAGGCGGTAGTCATTTAGGAGCGCTGATTACTCACTTTTGAAGCTGAACTGCGTGTTTTGCCTCTGCAAGAGAAAAGAAAAATATTGGTCATATGAAATATTAGTGGCCGAGATAACAAAATTCAGGGCTAGCTGATAAAAGGAAGCATAATTTACCCGACTTTGACCAGTGCCAACCGCTCCTCGCATGATGCGAGTAAATACAATGGATAAGTACATGCGTCACCAATCACTGCTTTTTAAAAATTGAGAGGAAATGGGTTCGCTAATTTATGCTTTTTGTACGTGATACAAGTACAACTGCTGTCAAGCTTTGTATTTCCACCAGCTGTAGGATGACCAGCCTTGGTAACTGCATCGTCCAAAAACAAAATTTTCAGTTTATACCATCTTCGCTTATGGGCCATTATTACATTGAATGCGGTATCGCACTACATGCATAGCTGACGGATTGGCGCTTTTCTTGTTATGTTCGCAGGAGTCTTTGAATGACTTACGCATTAGAATGTAATTAGATCGTAAACTTACGCATTAGATCGTAAAACTAGCCTTACAATGTATATGCTTTAACAAAGGATACGTTCACCTTTTCGCCTCCGCCGACGCTTCCAGTGTCTCGCAGCTGTCAAGGAAACCGTAAGAAAAGCCAGCGCGACAATAGCCGCAACGAGGAAGCCTAAGACGTGACCCGGCAGTTTCACAGTACTGGCATCTGCAATAAATTGCGTAACAAAACAAGTGATTCAGTATTGACAATCCATCGTCGTTGGTTTCAACCCCATAACAAAGTCCAATCCGCACGCCACAGCACCTACTTCACGCTTGTGATGTTTCTGCCCGCGTTATCAATTACATAGCCGGCAAATTTTTCGAAGAAACTTAGAAGTTTTGTACTTTAGCCACTATTTATGCGAGTGAAGATGAGGCGTTCTAGAATGTAAAGAGGGATTAAAACAACTACCTTGTATTTTAACTTAGCATAAATGAAATATTCCGACGTTTCATAACTCATGCCGCCGCTGTTGTATTGAGATATTTTGTTGCTGTTACGAATTAAAAATCAAAGCAATGTTCGTTAATCACGAGACGGCAATATGTCCTAAGGTTGGGAAATATTCCCGTTTAAAGCAAAAGCTTTTTAAGCAAACAAAAAAGGAGAACAAAAAACTAAAAATTTCAAAGGACCGCTTGCTTAGTAACGCTAAGGCTGTGTCCTGTAAAAGTTGTTGTTCTTGCGGTCTCGTTTATTATGCGCTTAAAAAGCTTTTGCTTGAAACTTGATTGTTAGTTACTCAGCTTAGTATAATGTGAAAATAAAAACCGACTGGTTGCATATGGTTCAGAACACTACTGGGCTGACTTGGCACACGCAGCACAATTTTTTTTATTTATTATTCTATACGGCAGTTAGCTGAAACACCCCGCAAAAGCAGACACTCACCGCTTGTGTGAGTGGGTTTATGCAGCAGCGACAATCCGGCGGGAAGGTGAACCTCCGCGTCAGCGCTGCGGCCTTGTGAGTTTGCTGCATAGACCCGCACCAATAGGGAACCCTCCCTGGGCAAACCTGAGAAGCTAAACTCGGGCCTTTGGGTGTCGCTGGCGTTCCTCAATAGTGCAGGCGTTGACGTTGCCGTGCCGTCAATGAGAAGTTCAGCAAAAAAAGTGACCGGGAGGCCACCTGTGGAGCCCGGCACGCAGGTGACAGCCATGCCGTCTTGACTCTGAGCAGTCACCGTGCAGTTGTGTGGAGTTGCTGGTGGTGCTGCGAAAATTATGACGAAGAATGAAACAAAAGAAAGACGAACGGCGAAAAAAAAAACGTAGACATCGACATGATAGAAACAAACAAACCAATAAATGTGAACACAAGGAATGAAGCAAGGCAAGCAAATATAGGGGCACCAAAGAAAGAAAAAAAGAAATAAAGAAAGAAAGAAAGAAAGAGAACTGAAAGTAACATTACAAGTAATCAAACACAGAAAGAAGGAAAGAAGACAGACAGAGAAGTAGTGCACGAAGCAATGCAGTTGTCACGAATTAAAGAAAACGTGAATGAAGGAATAAATACAGCTTCAGGGCACGCCATAAAAGTTGCCTAATTCTTGTACGAAAGTTGCCGTGAATATATGAATTAGCAGATATTGCGTTATAGGTGACATGCCGGAACGGTGCTTATAGTTATACCCCAGTGGATGACTCAATAACAAAGAGAAGGCGAAATCAGTGAAGCTCGCAGAAGTTTGACAGCATGCGCGAACTAACAGAAAAAAAGTAATGTGTGATTTATCGTTGTTATTGTGGAAAGTCGCAAAATGAACTAAGGGAAACCAATGCAATTCTGCACTTCCTTAATACCTATAGTGGCTGGCACGCATAGCCTTAGCGCCAAATTCAGTTGAAAGGGCCCCCGGGTATCGCGCTAATGAACGCAGCGGTCACATGCATACACTTTTCCTTCACGCTCTCTTTATCCAGTCACGTATATGCATCACGTTCTGTAACCCCAGCCTGCACTTACGCAAACTTTCGGAAATACTTCCCACTCTCTTCTCTTATGAAGGCGAGAGCGTTGAGTGCTTCATAAAACGCGTCACGACATGAAACGCGTCATCATGAGTGATGCAAACATCATCGTGCCGTACTTCATTTCAAATGTCATAAAATCTTGTGACGTCACATGATGACGTCAGCCTATAGCCGCCTTGTCAGTGGTAGGACCCATCACAGAGGCTGTGCAAAGCCCCATTGACTACGGGGAGTGCCGAGCGGGATCAGTACTATTTAAAGAGAAGGAAAACAACATGGCTTTCACCTTGTTGTCTTGAGGATATGCTTGAATAACCTTGTGTCTTTAACATTTTGTATTCAAATTATCTGTGCACTGGGCAATTCAATCTAATTTTTGCACGAGTGCTCACGTGCACCCACCGGGAGGCACGATGCGGAAGACGCAAGGTTCTCGCTGCTTTCCGACGCTGTTCGAAGCCCAGCAGAGTAGCAGGCCGTACTCGAGCTCCCTGCTGGCGACGGCCCGAGCCAGGGCCCGGGTTCCGTTCACCACTAGACTGTTGATGCGCCCTGTGCGCTTGGTGGTGTTGGCCAGCCACTCGAAGTGCAGCTCGTCGCTCGGGTTGGCGCGTACTTCGCATGCGACGCGGAGCTCGGGAGACGCCGCGTACTCTTCTCTTTGATTCTCGGCGCATTCTGGAGCGACTGTTCTCGAGGAAGAAGACGACATGAAAGTGATCAAAGGTAAACGCAATTACTACTAGGTGCAGCGGAATAAATGATGTCCGTCATTTTATTATCGACGACATCAAATGCTTGTCGTCGGCCTCTTCAGTTTGTAAAAACTGGCAAAAGCTGATGGGATCTGAGCTGGTCGGGTTAATCCAATAGGAGACTACTAAATAGGCTGCATTTTACCTATATGGTCTTGCTGGGCAGACTACACTCGATCAACGATTTGAGATCAAAGGATTATCGGAGCAACAGAACAAATTCATCCCTGGAGCAGCAAACGAAGCCAGGGCTCTAATATTCAGCGAGTCTCAGTGGCGCAAGCAAAACTTATTGAATCTCTTTCGCCTGCCTTATCCCTGGAGCAGCAAACAAGTCCAGGGCTCTAATATTCAACGAGTCTGAGTGGCGCAAACAAAACTGATTGAATCTCTTTTGCCTGCTTTCCTTCACGGAGCTCCGGCTGGTGATAGGCGCGCATCTCTTATTTTTGGCTTTCCTTTTCTGTTGAAATTTTACAAACAGCATCAAACGGGTTCTTAGCTAACCAAATTTTAGCATAGTTAAGGTTTAACAGCGCGAAAAAAGTACACGGCAGACAGAAAAGGGACGGGACAAGCGCTGACTTCCAACTAAAATTTTATTGACAAGAACGCTGTTAATATACCTGAGTGAACAGAAAAAGAAAAATTGTTTTGTGGTGCATGTTACGTGGGCCGAATGGGAAGATGCCTAAATGAACGCTTATGAGAACACGCCAATAATGTTCGTAATGGCAAAGATGGCTTCCTGGCGCAACACGTGAGCACGTGTGGGTGAACTCCGCTGTTCGAATAGACAACAATTCTCGGCAAGATTAAAGAGGAACACGAGCGTATAATTTATGAGGCTGCTCAGATGGCGCTTGAAAGGAGCGCATGCACATGCAAGCCATCAGTTCCTCTGTCAGAAAGAGAGCTATGTTTTTGTTTTTTTTTTTAGTTGCGAGGGTCTGCCCCGCCGCGGTGGTCTAGTGGCTTAGGTACTCGGCTGCTGACCCGCAGGCGGCGGCTGCATTTTCGATGGAGGCGGGAATGGTGTAGGCCCATGTGCTCAGATTTGGGTGCACCTTAAGGAATCCTAGGCGGTCGAAATTTCTGGAGCACTCTACTACGGCGTCTCTAATAACGATATGGTGGTTTTGGGACGTTAAACCCAACAAATCAATCAATAAAATCAGAGTTGCGAGGGTTGGCGTATCAGGCTCAGTGATTGTAGATATTTTGTATCTATACATCAGTAATTTCTTCCCTGTTTTTCTGTTCACTTGGGCATTCTTGTCAATCAAATTCTAGTTGGAAGTGAGGGCTTGTCCCGTCATTTTCCTGTCCGCCGTGTATTTTTTTCGCGCCGTTAAAACTTAAGTATGCTAAACCAACTAGCCCAATCAGCCAATTTGTCAAGGAGAGTGGATGTTTTGGTGCTACTTTCCCCTAACTCACTCTTTGCGCCATTAAACGACACATATTGTCACAATGCTTGTGTCATTTATGTTTGTTGCTGTCATTACTGTTAAACACCCATCGCCATAATCTAAAGGCGCTCGAACAGTTCTTTATTCAGGGTAAGAAGATTTTGTTGCCGCTGCTTACACTGCACGGACAGCCTCAGTTGATTGCTGAAGCTTTCGCCGAAGCGGTTAGAGGCGAGACACTCGTACAGGCCAGAGTGGGACCTGGTAACGTTGCTCAAGTGAAGAACGTCATCTCGCCACTCCAGCAACTGCCCGTCTCGGCGCCACCAGACGGCGTTGATGGTCGGGTTGGCTATCCAGTCGCAACGTAGCGTCGTATTCTCACCTTCGTGAGGACGGAGGTCGGTTGCGGTTAGCGACAGCTGTGGCGGATCTGCACGGAGCGAAATGGGAACTACGCGTCAGACCTGAGACAGTTATTGCAAGTGTGGAGCCCTGCTCAGTCAGCTACGTGTTGGAGCAGCCACCTAAATTTAACTCTCAATTACTATTGCTCTGCAGTTTGCTTTGCATTCTGATAACAAATATATCGACACAAGAGGTACGTTTTTGTTACTGCCGTCGCCGTCATGTTCCGTATAATGTATAAATTGATTACATCGCTCATAGCTCCTAAGGTTCCATGTGTGAGTGAAAGCTTGCGAAGGCTGCATATGGGCACGGTTCAACAAGAGAGGAAACGCTTATTCGGGAGAAGGATCGGGAAGGGGAGCCGGGGAGGGGAGGAGGCATCGTCGCTCGGGCAGAAATTTCAAATAATAATGGAAAGATCATGGTCACATGCTTTAACTTGACTAATACTAGTAGAATACTCCTGTGCTTGCACTTGTACTCTCAACGCTTTCTTCATGTTGAGCCAACAGACAGCACGAAAACCACTTCGCTACCTTGCGCGGCTATATTCTGATACGGCAGTGTTTTCTTTATTTTATTTATTTATTTAGTACATACTGCGAACCATGAATGGTTTTGTAGAATTACGCACGATCTTGTTATAAAGGAGTTAGCTGTGAGCCTTAGCCTGTGTGAGATTTGCATTTTCTTGCTATCGCAGTCTTTTCTTCACCCTTGCGGAGAAGATTTTGCATAACACAGCGTACGATGCAACTCAGAAATGGGTGTAGCACATGCTTTTGTTATTCTTTCCGCCTTATTCACCTAGTATATTCAGAAGAGTGGTCTGTGCCATTCCTGTCTGCCGTCTTGGTAAACATTGTTGTGCTGCCTTTATCAGTCACCTATCCCGCCGCTTCGAATCACTTCGGCGCAACAAATAGTGCACTGATACAAACGCTGCTTTATTCATCGACTCACACTGAACATTAAGCGGCAGTGAATCGCTGATCTCGCTCCCCGGAAGGCTCGGGTTGTCCGCTCGGCACGTAAGCTGCAAGCCATGGTCCTGGGCGCGAACCACGAAGCTCACTGCGCTGAGAGTAAGTCCAGGTTCTCGAGAAAGCAGGCGGTCATGCTGCAGGCGCTCGCTGCCTTTGAACCAGGCGACTTGCGCCATGGGACGCGCTCCGCGTGCCAGGCAGCGTGCTTCCGCAACTTCTCCAGCCACCAGGGCGGCGCCACTTGCCGGTGGCGACAGTGCAGGTAATGACACCTTCACCTCGGTCGGCTTCACTGGCGCAGAGAAATAAACAAGACATACTCATCATCATTGAATACAGAGCACCTATGAATGTGACATTAGTGAAAGGTAATGATAAATTTGTAATCAGTTTCTTGCATTGTACTATATTTATTATTCAGATAAAAGGTCTTATATTGCCACTTTCCTTTGCGTCTGCTTTTTAGAAATAACGTTTAGAAATAGGTACATGAAAACGGACAAATCTTTCTTTAAACAAGTAAGGTTGTTTTCATGGCAGTGAAGTCTGCAAATGTGTGGGGTATAAAAGATGATATGCAGCTGCGTCTGGGGGAAAATTTTAGGAAACGAATTTGACGAATGGCTTTTCAATATTTTTTGGTTTATGTTGCTAGTGTAAAGCAGAAAATGAATGGTTTTCTTATTTCTCAATGTTGACAGGGCCAGCAGCAAAAGCTCTACTAGAAAAAAGAAGAACGACAGAGGCCTTATGTAATCATGGGAACAACAGAAACAATCAAACCCCAATTATGTAGTTGCCACGTGCTGCGGTGTTATAACATCTCTTGATTTATATAATCATCAGAAATGCTTCACGCTTGAGTTTTCATGAAATAGACGAGGGGCAAGATTCGGATCTTGACGTTTATTATACTGAAATGAGTTTATTATTGTTTCTTCACAACCAATTGAAAACTGGGTTGACCTACTTAAAGCTTCTTTGGTGCTATAAAGGGTGCTGACATACTGGTCGTTTGTTAGCATGAATTCAGGCAAACCTGGAGACGTTCATATCCTACACATTAGTAATACCGACCATTTTATTGCAGTGAAGGAAGAATGCGGAGGTAATTACAGGCGTGGTGTGGTATGCAAATGTCATGCTGCTTTGTTATAAGAGCAGACGAATTACGTTACGTTAAGATCATCATCAACCGGACTACGCCCACTGCAGGGCGTAGTTCGGATATATATATATATATATATATATATATATATATATATATATATATATATATATACAATAATGCCAAGGATTGTATAGGGGAAGTTATTAGAACACTTGTAATGTAAATAAGAAGAAAGAAAAGTGGGTGAAAAAATAGCTTGTCGTGAGCAGGGATCGAAACTACGGCCTCCGAATGACGCGTTCGATGCTCGTCAGTCAGAGGTCGTAGGTTCAATTCCTGCTCCACGGAAAATAATTTTTTTATTCCCTTTTCTTTCTTATTTACCTTATATATATATATATATATATATATATATATATATATATATATATATATATATATATATATATATATATATATATATATAATATATATATATATATATATATATATATATATATATATATATATATATAAGGAAGGAAGTGTATACCTAAGGGCTCATTATTCCGTCTTTTCTTACACAATATTAACGAGATCTAACAGACAATAATGCCAAGGAACGTATAGGGGAATATATTAGACCAAATTGAAATGTAAATATGAAGACAAGTCGGTGAAAAGAAAACTTGCCGTGGGCAGGATCCTGCGACCTTCGAATGACGCGTTCGATGCTCTACCACTGAGCTACAACGACAGCTATCCCCTCAGCCAGTTTATAGGGTTTATATGTGAATTAAACGTGTGAGTGTCAGTCAGCGCCACCAGTAGTCATGGCGGCGAGTGTGGCACACCCTTTTTGAGCCTGTTTGGCGACACGTAGCACGTGAACTTGTTACGAGTGGGCAGCTGACCAATAGTCCCTCGTATACAACCTAAAAGCACTAAGTCTGCCAGTACGAGACCCTCGTTAATGAATAAGGAAAAAAGTGTATACCTAAGGGCTCGTTTTTCCCGTGTTTTTACACAATATTAATGAGTTCTAACAAACAATACTGCCAAGGAAAGTATAGGGGAATATATTAGACCAAATTGTAACGTAAATATGAAGAAAAGTGGGTAAAAAGATAACTTACCATGGGCAGGATCAAGTTCACGTGCTACGTTCACGTGCTACGTGTCGTTCACGTGCTACGTGTCGCCAAACAGGCTCAAAAAGTGTGTGCCACACTCGCCGTCATGGCTACTGGTGGCGCTGACTGACACTCCCACGTTTAATTCACATATAATCCCTATGAAGTGGCTGGGGGGGGCAGCTGTCGTGGTAGCTCAGTGGTAGAGCATCAAACGCGTCATTCGAAGGTCGCAGGTTCGGATACTGCCCACAGCAAGTTGTCTTTTCACCCACTTTTCTTCATATTTACAATACAATTTGGTCTAATATCTTCCCCTATACTTTCCTTGGCATTATATATATATATATATATATATATATATATATATATATATATATATATATATATATATATATATATATATATATATATATACATCAGAGTGTGACGTGACTTCGAATTCCTTCTTCGCATAAAGTATTTTTTATTCTTTGTGTAAATCTCTGTGCACGATGATTGGGAAACACGTTGTACTCTACGGCAATAATGGCTGTCACTTCAACACACGATTTTTGGCCGTATAGGTCATTTTAGTAAGGGCGCATTTTAAACTGGGCCATCAACAAAGCATGCACCTGGGAAAGCAACTTGACACATGTCACACCCGATCCAGAAACACGTGCTTGTTGAATCTCAAACTCACAAGTGAGGTCCAACTTGAGACGGGACGAGAGCTCCTCGGTGAAGTTGTTATTCGAGGCGGTGCATTGAAGCGCGACCAGAAGGTCTCGACGTCGCAACGGACCCATTCGCAGCTCGTTGCGCACTACGCCTTGCGGCCACAGAACGGAGAAGCTGGCGTCCAGCAGTTCGCCGTCCTTGTACCAGACAACTTCGGGCGGAGGATCTCCTAAGGGACAAGGTCGAAGAACATTGCGAAAATACCGCGTTGAGTTCACTCATATGCACCGTCTATATATAGCGACAAGAGGTCAAAGAAATTGTATCATATAATTGCACGCTGGTCGCTAGAAAGATGTCGACCTCGTATGGTCGATGACAATGACTACACTAGAACAGTTATGAGTGACAGCTTCTCCAGCGGTACAAATCAAGAAAACAACTTTGTGCATCCATTCGACTTTGAACATCAGCCAACGTGAACTTCCTTCTCACACATGAGTCGTCGCCCCGCCGCGGTGGTCTAGTGGCTAAGGTACTCGGCTGCTTACCCGCAGGCCGCGGCATCGAATCCCGGCTGCGGCGGCTGCATTTCCGATGGAGGCGGAAATGTTGTAGGCCCGTGTGCTCAGATTTGGGTGCATGTTAAAGAACCCCTGGTGGTCGAAATTTCCGGAGCCCTCCACTACGGCGTGTCTCATATTCATATGGTGGTCTTGGGACGTTAAATCCCACATATCAATCAATCAACATTTGAGTCGTCATAGGAGCGTATATGCGCAGTGTCAGTGTGCTTTTTTTTTTCTCTCTGCTCATTCTCGCAGCAGGTCGGCGAGAGCCATGAGTTAGATGTCTCCAGATGCGTGTGCGTGCCGCACACGCACCTTGAGACATGGAACCCTTGTTACGTGAACTTCGCGTTGGCAGTACGAGGAGGATTGTGAACAGTGAGCCGCTGCTTGCAGCGCGGGACACCATGGCACCATGCTTTCCACGCTATGGTCACGCAGCTATCGCTCCACAAGCTCCGTGTAGCTAGGTTCGCCCTCAGCATTTTTTTTTCAATGACTCATATATCCGTGGAGTTCTGTACGCTCGTTCAAATGCTCCCAAAAAGTCAAGTTTATTTTGCTTCTTATTTGTCAGAGCTGAACTGTTACTGTCTAGTAATGCTTGTGTCTAGGAAGACTAAATGATGTTTAGAACCCATCTTGCCTTCTTCGTGTGCTTTATTGGTTTTCTGGAGCAACTCATATGTCAAACGAACACAACCCTCTGGTCCTCATTTTTTAAATTAGCGTGTGCAATATATGACGTCAAGCATATATCAAGTGCGTTTATTTCACGAAAGATGTCAGGAAGTTTGTGGTAAAAAAGAAATTTATTCAATGGCTCGACGTTATGACAGGCCCAGATGGTATACAAAGTTATGAATTATTTATATAGAAACCTTATATGCTATTGCGAGATGTGTGCTGGGCCCGAGGCATACAGGACACTAACAATAAAATTTTGTGATGTGAGACTTTGCAAAGCGGTAGACTTATTCATGCCGCGTAGTCATAAAACCAAAAGAAGAAATGGTGGGAGACATGATGTGGGCGTCGGTATAAAAAGTTGTTATGTGTGTTAAGGAAAGGCGCTTTCGTGATATCTGCGTTTGGAATGTATTTTATCTTCTTTGTTTGACTGACGCGCCGTCTAGCATGCGAGACGGTCATTGATTTTCCTATATAGACACCAGTCTTGTCTTCGTCGCATGCCTTCTCTCACTAGCCACATTCCAATGTCTGTGTTTCGAGACGAGCTAATTCGCTTCTCTCTGAGCGACACGCCTCCCTCCTGTGGAATGCCGCCACCATAACCTTGCTCGCTTTCATATATCTGGTTCATTTTTTTAAAACTTTCTGCCTTTCCTGTAGAAGCTAAACCCTTTGGAGTAGTTCACTGAACTGTGAATTGCAATGCAACATCACTGCTGCGAAAATTCAAAAAGGCAAATTTGAAAAAAGATGGTGAGCTACGACTCCGCACTTTCATGTGCATTTATCTAGACTACTTTTTTTCTCGCTTGAACATTTGATGTAGGTATCACACTTTGCGTCATCCATGAAACAATGCATATCACTTGTGTCTATAAGTCGACCATGCCGATTCGGTACCATTAACCTCATTTCATCATAGGCTCAACTTCATGAAAAACCAGTCGTAATACAGGCGTTCCATAGATTTCATTCATCTGCCTTTACGTCTGTTCAAGCATCGTGTAATTAGCTTAAAGAAAATTCGTATAAAACAATGCATCTTTATGAGAGAGAGAGAAAGAAATAAAAGAAAAAGACAGGGAGGTTAATCTAGAAGAAATGGTTTACTACCCTGCACAGGGGTGGAGAAATAAGGGTCGGAAAGGTGATAAAGATAGAGATATATAAGATAAATTATAAAAAAATCATATGCACGCTTCCAACAACTTCTAAACCCATTGGCTTGAAATTGATGCTCACAGCATACTTTGAAGTGCAGGGGCGCTATAGTGCAGGATTGCCCGAACTTGGTGAAACTCGGGATCTTTCCGAGCTCTAACGACACCTCGTTTTGAATGAGCTAATACTGCGAAAAAGTCAAATCGACCCCTCAGCGCGCTGCGATTAATTGGTTGCTATGCAACGCGACATCACATCAAGATCGATCGACAAATTTGGGGCGTGTTTTCAAACCAGAGACATCGTCTTTCATTTGTTTGCGTTTAACTAGGTGCAAAACTGCACCCATGCAATAAATGTGTCAGGAGCTTTTCCTGGAGATAAAGGCGTGAGCTGTTTAAATTCATTATGAAGCTTTCAATGCCTGCACGAAGCCTCTTTTAGAGTAAGCAGCATGGTGGCTTCTGAGATTTGTTCCGGCCGAGCGCCTCACAACGTCACGATCGCAACTAAGCCGGAGGCCATGTGCTAATAATCATGGTCAGCCTGTACATTGTAGCGCGCTGCTCGGTCGGTGCACGCCTTCTTTGTCATCTTCATCATCCTCTAGCACGCGACCACGTGCTGCTGGCTAATTAGCTATTTGGCTAAGCGATATACTTGGCTAGTTAGGCCACGACAAGCCATTAACAAGGTAATTAAGCGAAGCCATGGTAAGACCTTAGTAGCTACGCCACATCTTAATAAGACCATGGTAATCAAGTCATATAAAGCTAGAACCGCTGTAACTGAAACATGCTAGTTGACGTGCTAGCTAAACCACGCTAGTTCACGCGACGTTAATCACGAGCACGCCGAATAAAACCATGCTAACTAGACCTTACTAATATGATGACAATTATTATCGTGCTAACAATTACGGTCAATAGCATCATAATAATGATGAGTTTACTACTTGCACCCAAAATAATTATTGCCTTTTAGATTAGAACTTTATCAATTAAGACACAACTGTTCATTGTTTTGTTCCTTCAGCTCTGAATAATAAGTAAAATAAAAATTAAGACAGCTGATGTGGCCTTCACTTTGAAGCAGACCAAGGAGATGAGTAGACGACTGAATCGTAAAGCTGGAAGAAGTTAGGTTATCACGAGTTCCTCTATGGCAGTGTAAGATGACCAAACTATTTCTTATGCTAAGAAGTAGCTACTTAGCGTCCACCGCACCAAACGCTGGACACTTACGCAGGCACCATGAAAGTCACGAGTTGAACTGGGGAGAATGAATGAGTTTGTATCCGAGTTCGTGCCTCAATTAGTTTGATTGACAGACGCCTGCTGTGAAGATCGGGTTCGCCCTCCACTTTTGTCCTTGGCGAGGAGCAGGGCTCACGCCATGATGCGAGCGAGTGGCCCAATTCATCTATAAGAGTTATCACGCACACTATGCACACGTGCACGCAAAAAGTACAAGTTATGTCATCATGTGGCTACTATGTATCGCATTCAATATTACCGCGCTCATGACGTATCCACTCAGAGCCGCATTGCTGCCATGATACGAGCGCTTCTAGTGAACACCTGTCGTTACATTTATTTGGAATATTTGATAGAAGCGAAGCGAGCAGCAAGAGAGTGCTGCGTGTGCACCCTTGCTGCTTTCGACAGTGGAAATTCACATGCTGCAAGTGGAACAAAAGAACGTACTCGAAAGAGGACAGACGCCCATAAACACGCCTGTGGGAGGTGCGTCTTGTGTCGGCGAAACGATAGCGCGACAATCAAGCTGACGGTCCTGCACTGCTGAAACGCTAAGTGGCGGCGCTTGACATGTAGTACGTACGTACGCATAAGGTTCCTAGACGCAACAAGTTTTAAAGACGATAATCTTTCTTCGGCACCTTCGACGCAAAAATTTTGGTCTATCTGTCTGTACAATTGTCTGTTTGTCCATGCTTAATGATACCTTAAACGGGACCGAACGATGGTTCAAATGGTCGACCTCATCCGCAGAGTCCACTAATATTGCTCAAGGTTTAGCGTTTATACTAGCGCGATTGTCATTTAAAAAGCAAATATTGCGCATATTTGAGGAATCATAACAACACATCTATATTTTGCATGTGTGTCTTTTGCTAGAAAAGGCATACATAAGTAAAACTAAGGACTGTAGCTCTTATTACGCTGCGCTAATGATACAACACTTGCACAAAAAGGCAAGTGTTTCCAAAGCCTTGCTAAGGCGATACGGTGGTGGCACCGCCCCGCCGTGGTGGTCTAGTGGCTAAGGTACTCGGCTGCTGACCCGCAGGTCGCGGGTTCGAATCCCGGCTGCGGCGGCTGCATTTCCGATGGAGGCGGAAATGTTGTAGGCCCGTGTGCTCAGATTTGGGTGCACGTTAAAGAACCCCAGGTGGTCAAAATTTCCGGAGCCCTCCACTACGGCGTCTCTCATAATCATATGGTGGTTTTGGGACGTTAAACCCCACATATCATCATCATTACGGTGGTGGCACCTACCCGTCGCCTTGCGTTCTACACCTTATCAACTCCGAGACAGGCGCGCACGCCACGTGCTTCGTTTTTCAAGATAACTGCCGGATTGCGCTCATGTCTCACGTGTGACGTGACTTGATGCCTCCGCTGCACGCTCGAGGCACTCTAACCCAGCGCCTCCAGAACGCCATTCACCGATTTTCTTGCGCAGAAGCTCAAACAAACGTTTTGTTCACTCTCTCCAAAGGCAAGACTATCATCTTTCGACGACACTTGCACTGTAACATGCAGATACGGGGCCAATTTTTTTCATCTAGGGACCTTACGTACACACGTAGTGTTTCTTTGATAACCACCGCAAATGCCCCACATGCATTTCTGTCGCCACGTCCGTTATTGTGGTCATTTCTGTCAGCGCTGCTATCCGGCGCTCCACACTGTCTTGATGTGATGGCCGCCGTAGAGCGAGCTCGTAGCTACTCATCTGCCTGAGAAGCTTGGACCATCCTGCACGGTGGAGGTGTCGTTTTGGGAGGACCATCCTGCACGGTGGACGTGTCGTTTTGGGAGGATCACGCGTGCCATGTGTAAGACACGTAAGGGGAGTGGTTACCTAAGGTCATGAGATGAGGTGGATGAATAGGTCGGAAAAAAGAACAATAGTAAATGAGACAGCTGACAAAATTTTCTTTCTAAAGACAATCTTTTCCGGCTCTGTCTTACATAAAGTTATTGTAATCGGGATGTTTATTTCTCATATCTAGGCGCGACTAAGCGAAACAAGTCTTTATTGCCTCTTGCTAAACCTAATCAAATTTAATGCTAGTTTGTTGTTTCGAGTGATTCAGTCATAGGGAGCTCCTAACCTTTAACAACATAACTAGGATGGTATATTTTCTTTCTTAATAAATATTTCTCTGACATGAGATAACATTATTTTTGGAACGTACTGGGATTGAGATGAAGGTGTATGTACCTTTTCAGCTTCAGCATTTTATTATCGTTGTGGTACGAAAAGCCCCCAAACCATGAGCATGTGAAACGTGCTGAACTTCATATTCAATTAAATATGCTGAAAGCTGCAAGGGCAACGTTAACTATTATTATATCTCTGGTTTGATTGAAAAAGTCCAGTAAGTGATAATTTGAATTATTTTTGACGTGTCACTAACAAGTATATATAGGTCAACATTTCATTCACGACGGGCTTGTCGAGCGGTTAGTCTATTTTACAGTTTATTAGAATTTTTTACTGGCTCATTTTTATACCAGTTAAAATATTGCAATAAATATTGGTGTTGCCATGGTAACCTTCCTGAAATAAATGCACAGACATATCGTAGGGGCTTCTTTCGACCGTTCACGTTTAGCAAATAAAGTTTGTTCGTGCAAAGTTTATGGAATGTTTCAAGGCACATTGCAGTATTAGAAGTGTCAAATATTGTGACGTCGCTTGCTCTCACCTCCTTCCACTTCGCATACGAGTAGAACAGTGGTGCCTTCGTTGTATGGCCCAAGAACATCAACTTGCCTTTGGCCGTACTCGTCAAGCACAATGAGCTCCCTCGGAGGCACTGCAGACAATACGGACCGTGAAAAATAAACTAACGCTTTTTCTCAGGCATGGTTCATTGAAGAATAAGTGAGAGTAAACGAACGAATCGCTGGCAAATAGATTGATCAAAACTGAGCACGATACATTGCCCTACGTGTGCAAACACGAATACCAACGAAAAAAATTGTGAAAAGTAAATTTCCACTGTTGATGCCAACAGCTCAGAAATGCTTTCCTGTCGAAAATGGTGCAAGAGTTTGGTGGCCTTTAGAAATCGCAGATGAGAAACTAGATTTAATTTTAGATTGCTGCTCTGACTTCTACATATGACTCCTCACGTTGACACTGGAATACCGGGATGTACCTTTGATTATTTGGTTGATTTGATTGATATATAGGCTTTAACGTCCCAAAACCACCATATGTTTATGAGAGACGCCATAGTTCATGGAGGGTTCCGGAAATTTCGACCACCTGGGGTTTTTTAACGTGCACCCAAATCTGAGCACACGGCCTACAGCATTTGCACCTCCAGCGAAAATGCAGCCGCTGCAGCCGGGATTCAATTCCGCGCCCCACAAGTCAGCAGACGAGCATCTTAGCCACTAGACTACCGCAGTGGGGCTGGGATGTGCCTTTGATGCCACCTAGACATGAAAGTCGCTGTTTAATAAATAATGAAATAATCGCCACTGATACTCGTGCGCCTTTCTTTTGCCATTTTACCATCACTATACTACAAGCAAGAATAAATTAAAAATAGGGTGCAATCCTTTTCTACACACGTAGCAAGAGAAGCTGAGCCAAGCAATAATTTCAGTTCGCAGTGATTTTTGCATTATCCCTGGCTGATTTCGATTTTCTTCGTAAGTTATGGTAACGAAAAACCTGCCTGGACCCCTCTTCACAAAAACTTCTTACAATAAAGATTTTATTAAAAATACGTTTGAATGACTCAATAATAAATTGCTTCAAGATCGATATTCTGGCTGCAACAATAAACTATGGCGTTCCCTGCTAAAGTCTATAAAGTTCAATGCGGTTGTCCTCTCCCCACAAGCGTTTGTCTTCTCCCCACAACGAAGGGACATTAAGAAGCACTCCCTCAAAAACAGAAGTTTCAGGTGGCGATTCACTACAATTTCTTCAATCCAGGTTAACGTCCCTGCCTTCCTCTTTTCTCGTTTCTTTCTCTCTCTCTCACTTCATAAGCTAGTTGGGAACGCAGAAGCTCAGGTATTGCAGCACCGCTTATTCGGCAAGTAGACTTTATATGTTTCACCAACAATTATCGGTTGTACTATTGCTGTTTGCATTTAGTTGGATGATGACGATGCTAACAACACTTCTTTTTTTTTCATGAGATCAATTTTTTGCTATCGCTTCTTTCGGCAACTACGCGGACACATTCGAGTGTATAAATTTGTGAAAATGGCGTTATACCACCAACAGACATTTTGTAGACTGCCTAAGGGTTTCCAGTCACGCGTCTCTCCGTGTGCACGCCGGGATCTCCCACGCTTTGCTTACGTGCATTTTTGCACAGCAAATTTTGTTTCCTTAATTTTTCCGATGACCATATTCCCACGGCAACGAACAAATTTACCTTCTCCGGTGATTTCGTTATTGAGGTGTTGGGCTACATCTTAGCGAATAAGGATGCGAAACGCATAATTAGCGACGCCAGCTGACCAGTGGGAAAATGCGCTTGGCAAAGAAAGGTCTTTTAAACTCAGCTTTTTATTTTTAACTGATAGGTAACGTTCGTTCACATGTTTTCTATTCGTTCTCACCTATGACACGTAGCTCGCTGTAAGTGACTTCAGTGCGCGCCTGGCGGTAGTCTACCCGACAGCGGTACACCCCGGCGTCTTCGGCTTCGACGCGCGTCACTCGTAACAGTGCTGGCTGGTGGCTGGCCTCGAAGCTCATCCTGGCGGCGAGTTCTTCGTCCTCTTCACTGGGAAAGTGCCGCGCGCCTTGGAGAAGGCTGCCCCAGCGAGCGTCGACCGTGTAGACGGGAGTTGAAGAGTTGTCCTTGTACCACAGGATTAGAGCCACTGGTCGCTCTTCATTGCCGTCAGGGGTGATGTTGCACGGGAGCCAGGCGTCACCACCGGCCACGGCGGTCACTTCGACGGGAGCATTGCTTGACGCTGTAAAAAAATAATTAAGACTGTTGGGTATAATTTCTCAAAACCGCGATGCGATTGTGAGAGAGAGAGAGAGAGAGAGAGAGAGAGAGAGAAATGGAGAGGAAAGGCAGGAAGGCTAACGAAGTTTTGGTTCGGTTGCCTACCCTACCCTAGGGTAGGGGGAAAGTGAAAATAATAGAAAGGAAGGGATATAGAAGAAAGAAGAAAAGTAAGAAGGAGATGGTTAAACAGTCAGCTTGAAACCACACGACATGGTCTCGCCTTGTGATTTTGAGAGAGGCTGTTGTGAAGGGCTCCAGATATTTCGACCTCCTGGTGTTCTTTAACGTGCACTTAAATATTAGAACACTGGCATCTAGCATTTCGGTTCCATTTCAATGCGGTCACCACTGTCGAGACAGGATCACGCCCACTGAAGGTCAGCAGCCAAGCGCGTCATGTTGCGAAACTTCAGAACAATGAAACAAATACGAATGGTGAGACAAGATTCGTATAAGCGAGATACTTACGTTCAAGTACTAAAACAACCAAGAACTATCAGCGCGTCAGGTGGCAGAACTTTCTTGTTTTCACTAACCTAGAACATGGAGATGCACTAGAATTGCCCCTAGTTACAGGGCGCGAACTAATTCAATGAAGACAAGTGGCTATGGAGATCCGCGATGTTATGGCCCAACTGTGGGTTGTCCAGAGGGCCCACGATGCGACCATCGGACTTTGCGTCCCAATCTGATAACGGCCCGCTGCGCGTTGAGACGTGTGCCTCAGAACTGAAAATAAGGTTTCGCAATCATCTATTAATTTGAGTACGTACACGGTGACTCTTATGGTACTCTTGTTCTGAAGGAGGACGACGAAGTGTCTCTTCATAGAACGCTTCTGCTTTCGGCTCCGAGCATTGTTATCAAGTTTTTCGCTTTCTACGGGAGACGCTGCTCCCTGCCCCAGGGCGACGGACGCGGAGTCATCCACTGGTCCGCCCAGCCAGAGGTCTGCTATGGCGAGCTCCTCGGTAAATCAGCGCGCCTGGCCCAGAACCAGTGAGGCCAACGGTGATAGTCACTGCATCATGGCTGTGGACGTGGAGCCTTCTGCGGCTATGTCCGACCATAGACCACTTTTGGCAAGCTCGTCGCGGAAACGAAGCACCTGTTCGAGCACCAGCGAGGACACGGAACTGTACTCGGCCACTGGCGACGACTCGTCGGATGACGACTTCGAGACCGTGAGAAGCAGGAAGGCCAAAAGAAGAAGTATCAAGTCGTCTTCACCAGCAGGGACATTAACGTCTCAGTCAAAAGGAGAATGCTGGCCGCACACCATCCTCTTCATGCCCGAGGACTCCACCATCAGCCTTCGAGCAGTAAACAGGCAAGCTCTCTCTATGTACTTTGAGGGGGTAGCACCAAACGACATTAAGGATATCCGGGTGAACACGCGGAAGAATATTCTAGCTGTGGACACAATGACTGCCAGCGCCATAGACAAGCTTCGCAGAGTATCAGATTTGGGAGGCATCAAAGTACGACCGGTTATTCCAATGGACGGTGCCTGCACGGCGGGAGTAATCTACGACATTGATTTGGCCATAGCAAACTCGGACCTCCCAACTCTCATAAAACCAGCGAACGAAGGAGTTCTCATCGCGAATGTACTTCGCCTCGGAAACACCCGATGTGTAAAGATAATGTTCAAAGGAGATTCCATTCCGTCGCATGTCAAAGTGGGACACTTCCGACATCCTGTTCGACCATTTGTCCCTAAACCACTCCAGTGCCATAACTGCATGAAAATTGGTCACATCAAGAGTGTATGTACAAACACCACAGTATGCCCCCGATGCGCTGAGCCGCACACTGCAGACGCATGTCGGGCAACAAGTCTGAAGTGCAGAAACTGTGATGGTCCGCATGATGCTGCATCCAAGGAATGCCCTCGGATTAAGAAGGAAATAGCCATTATCAAACAAATGGTTAGGGACAATTCAACCCACAGAGAGGCTGCTGAAAGGGTACGGCGGCGACGTAGTCGCCGACGGAGGCGTGGAGGACAGAGTGTTGCGCATAACCCATTTCCTCCGAGCACGAGTGAAGTAGTAAGCACGAAGCGAAAAGAATTGGAGAAGCTCACAGCTGCGGATGAGTGGCCTACGCTTCCGCGTACACAGCCTGCAAAGGAGCCTCCTGCGAGGCCTCGCCGCCCTACACCTTCCACCGAGTCTACTTCCGTTGAGGATGTGTCAAGGGTCGATCGACAGATCATCCCGATGTTACGATCCCTCGTCGCTGTCATGGCAGACATACTAAGAAGCCTGGGAACTCCAACCGCTCGAAGCGGGTTACAGGTGTTGGACGCGCTGAGCCCAGTCCTCGCCTCCCTCGCGTAGAGTCATGGCAGGAGATCAACAATCGTTCCGCAAAGACGTCAGAGAAGCATCAGTCATCCAGTGGAACGCAAGAGGACTTAGATCACGGATTTCCGATTTTCGTCAGTACGTGTTTTCTAACCTTTTCCCAATCATCGTAATATGTGAACCGAAATTATCAAACCCGATCAGGCTATCTGGCTACGAATCAATCCCGTCCAAAACCCGAAACGAAAGCAGCAAGGTCATTGTGTATATTCGTCGGGAGCTTACCTACATCATTCAACCTGTGTCGCCTCATGATGAGAACCAATATGTTTGCCTGACTGTGAAGCAGAAAACCCTCACCTTCACATTAATAGGTGTCTACTTATCTCCCTCAGCCCGTTTTGATTGCCAAAGACTGGATGACATTCTTTCGAGCGTCCCGGATCCGTGGATAATTATAGGAGACTTCAACGCCCACCACCCAATCTGGGGAAGTTCAAAAGTCAATACCACGGGCCGGAGGCTGGCTTCATTTGTATCGACTCATGAACTGTCTCTACTTAATGATGGGAGCCCTACATTTCTGCGAGGATCAACGTACAGCAGCTGTTTGGACTTGACGTTCGTGTCACGTCGCTTCGCCACAAACGTTAAGTGGTTCTTAGACATCGAGACACATGGTAGCGATCACATCCCCAGTTATCTCACCATCGAAGGCTTTGCTAGCGACCACCCGCCGAAAACCGTACGGAAGATCGATCTTTCAGCATTCAAAACCAACATTGAACACGCTTGTGAAAAAGGCTTAACCTCTGACATTGAGCAAGCGATCAAACAAGCAGCGCAGAGTGCGATGCGCACGCTGGCATATTCTTCAAAGCCCTCAGAAACGGACATGGAGTTAGAGCGACTCCGTGCGACTCGTCGGCGTGCGGAGCGTAGATATCGACGCACAAAATCCATTCAAGATCTACGGATGGCCAGGCGCATGCAAAAGAAGATCCAGCGTCGTATAGACAAACTGGAGTTTCAACGGTGGGCGAAATTTTGCGCGAGTCTAGACCCTCGCAAACCGCTTTCTCAAATATGGCGAACCGTGCGAGGCCTACGCACATTTCCCCAACAACGTTTTCCGTTTAAAGCCTTGGCCCTTTTTCCAAAATAGAAGGGATATCGAGGTAGCGGAAGATTTTTGTAGGAAGATTGCGGGCCCACCAAATTGCACAGAAGCCCTTACTGCTCATTACACGCCACATTCACTTGACCCGCACCTGGACCTGCCTTTTTCAATGGAAGAACTGAATGTGGCTCTTGCTTCATGCAATCGATTGTCATCGCCTGGGCCGGATGGCATATCATACCGCCTATTATGCAATCTCGGTGATCGAGCACGAAGTGCTTTGCTGGAAGTATTCAATGAGTCTTGGAGAGATGGAACGGTCCCCAGAAAGTGGAAAACAAGCCGGTTGGTTGCACTTCTCAAACCTGGAAAATCGCCTCTAGAGCTGACATCATACCGCCCAATAGCGCTGGCTAGTTGCGTAGGGAAGCTGATGGAGCGAATGATCCTTGCCAGACTCGAGTGGTTCCTAGAACGCCATAGAATATATCCAGACGCCATGGCCGGTTTTCGTCGTCTTCGGAGCTCCATTGACAATGTCATTGACCTGGTGACCTACGTACAACACCAGAAAATGAGCAGACGGTTATCTGTCGCACTATTTTTAGATGTCAAAGGAGCATATGACAATGTTTCTCACGAAGCCATACTTGACGCCCTCGAGTCAGTTGGTTTGGGTGGGCGAGTGTACCGCTGGATCCAATGCTACCTACATATGAGATCATTGTTTATGCAAACTGATGATGGGCCGACTTCTGAACATTATACACACCGTGGTGTTCCTCAAGGTGGTGTATTGAGCCCCACACTGTTCAACCTGGTTCTGATCGGTCTCGTTGAACGCATACCAGATTCCGTGCAGATATCTCTCTATGCAGATGATATTTGTGCCTGGACATCAGGTGTAACACGTCCTCAGGTACGTGCGAGACTCCAGAAAGCAGCGAATTCAATATCGGCGTACCTTAGAGAACAAGGCCTCGAGATTTCTCCTGAGAAATCGGCGCTGGTCGCGTTCACGCGGAAGGCAATGACGTCATATCCCATCACCATCAATGGACACAGTGTCTGCTACGCCAGGACCCACAGGTTTTTGGGGGTCACGATCGATCGAAATCTCTGCTGGAGTCCCCATGTGGCCACTCTAAAGAAGCGCCTAACGGCCATCGCACAACTTTTCAAGTTCCTCGGAGGCAAAACGTGGGGCACATCAGTGCACGCGATGTTGCATTTGTACAAAACGCTGTTTCTGGGGTACCTGCGGTATAGCTTGCCGGTTCTGACGAACGCTTGCAAAAGCAGTATACGCACAATAGAAAACGCCCAGGGCCAGGCACTCAGAGTTTGTCTTGGATTACCACGCTGTACATCAACAGCGGAAACCATCGCAATCGCCAAAGATCATCCGGCCACAGTGCACATTACTTTGGAGGTGCTTAGAGCTCATATTAGACACCTTGCTCGCGCCCCTGCCCACCACCTAGCTTCGCTTCCAGAAGATCGACCGAGTGCCTCCTTCTGTAAGAG